AGAAACTCATGAACTGATTCATAAGATACATCTTCGGGATCCCCAGGGGTTCACATGTTTCATTCTGGTACACCGAGTTGAAGTGGCTTTATCTTACTTTCCGACAACAATTCCTTCTTGGTGTTTTCCTTTTCCAAGTCTTCAGAACCAAAAACCCTCCCTACATTCTGAAACTCCTTACTCTACGTTCCTCTATCCACTCTCTTAATACCAGGTCTCAATCTATAGACTTATATATCCCCTCCCATAAAACTTCTTCCTTCAACAAATCCTTCGTCATTCGTGCTGCTTCCTTTTGAAACTCTCTTCCTACCTCCACACGTCAATCCTCGTCCACAAATTCCTTCAAACAACTCCTGTTCCACCACCTACTCCACATTCAAACTTTCGCAAACATGAAAAATTACTTGCATCTGTACACTGTTTAATTTCAATCTACTGCACAATTGCAATAACAATTCACAGATAATTAATAAGTCAGACTAAGAAGATCCATAAATTTGTAGCTCTGTTATTCTTAGGGGACAGTAGACACAGAATACAATTATTTTTTCATTTCATTTTATTTCACATTGCTTAGTACATAAATATCAGAAACGACAAGCCATTCGAAAAGGTTTGAGAAAAAAAAGTGAAATTCGCCTTCGGAAGCACGGTCGCGATCCCAAGAAACTGACCTTGAGCTCCAAGAATAGCTTGAGCTGTAGACCTAGCTCACTGACCTACATTTCGTATTTACTAACATTAAAGTCATCCTCTAACTATTGAATTGAGAACTAAATAAATAAAGTTGAGTTAAAGTTAACATCCGTTATTTAAAAATCTACGACAGTATTGCATCCCGAAGTCATATTTTTGTCTTTTTGCGAAACCTAGTATTGTGATTCGATTAGTAAGTTAGTAAGTAACTATGGTTGGGAACCAGATAGGCGTTTTTTGTGGGTACGGCAGAATTTATTATAAGTGGATAGGTATCTGTTTCAGGATAAACAGAGGATTTCGGTTTATAAGGTTTGGACACATATCGTAAACGTGTCTCAGTCATAAATGAAACGATTATATATATTGTGTACTAGTAAAGTTTCTTTCTGGATTTGAAGACCAATAAGAATAGTTTTAATGAAGAGAAGGATGGTTGGGGTGATCAGTCATAATAAAAATGGCAAAAATAAATAATAATATTTATTTTAACATTTGCCGACGTTTCGACCCGAAGTTAAGGTCTTCATCAGGGCTGAGATCAAAATTTTATTTTGAAGAATATTATTTTTTTCAGTTTTTTCTAAATAAAATGCTTGTAGGTTACGATGAGATGAATTTATTCACGAAATTTCAGGCGGATGTTAATAGTTTGATAAAAAGGGGTCTATACCACGGACTTTAAGTGTTATTAATAAAACTTGAATGAGCTATACAATAAACATTTTTTTATTATACATTTTTTTGTTTTTATTTATTTTTTCATTATTTTTAAATTCATTTATGTTCATAAATGTACATATACAATAAACGCAACCAATATAAAAAATCATTTCTTTAAAAAGAATATTTTTATTTTTAAATAAACAGTAATATCATCTTTTTCTTTTAAGGTTCTTCTACCAAGGAATCGGAAACTTATAGTCGTATTTTAAAACAGTTAGTGATAAAAAACGATTCTTGAATAATTAGAGTGAGGTTTAAAATAATTAGTAAACTAGCAAGTGATATATTATCGAGTAAGAAAAAGAAATAAAATAAAAATTAGTTGCTGTACGTGACAATAAGAATAATATGTTTAAATAACCATAAATCGGAACGTTTTGGTAAACAGAAAATCAAGAAAATTAGGTGGTTTCATATTGTTGACAACGGTGTTATGTATTATGTTACTTAATAATATGTATTAAATAATTTGACATTTGAAATTGTACGACGGAAGCGAGGTCAACCGAATTTATTTTCGGGAAGTATTGTATTCCTCTGAGCTAAAGCTTTGTGTATTGAAAGACAAAGAAATGATTGATTGACTGATACGTAGTGAACGGCCAGCGACGATGAATAGAAATACCATGGCCGTGCGACGGAGTCTTTTTTTGGAATAAATGGATTTAGAAGTTATGGAATGTTGAGAACCCCAAAATAAACTTGTCAAAATTGAACTAATTTTTTTGACCCTGACAAAAGTTGTTTTCGGAAGGAATAGATATAGAAAGTCTTATGTGGTTTAACAAAGCAGTAACAATGATCTGTGGAAATATTAAAAATGCTTTATATGATTTTTTTTATGTTTCATTATAGTGATACCACAGTTTTATGATTCGGATAATATCTACCCAGTTATATTGAGAGATAAAAAGGTTAACGATATTATTTTTAAAGAGTAAATATTTACTAATATGTTGTACCGCGGACATTAGTATGTTGAATGGAAATATTGTTCATGTAAACTGGAGCCAGTCGTGTACTTTTCGTAATGTGATGGAGTCAGTAATTCCTGAGTGATGTGAGCAAGTCTGATAAGCCTGGTGTCTTAACTCTCATTGCATGCCTACGTCGGTGAATCTAGTGATATGATGTTTAACGAAGCTTATGGAAAGCAGACAAACATTTCTTCCTCCTGCAAAACTCCATAATAGATGTTTAACATTGTAGTCATCAACAGCAATGAATGTCATTTTCACAGTTTTTCAAAGTAACTACAAAACATGACGAGCGTATACCAAGGGGACAATATTTTATGTGCAGAATCATGGCAGTAATTTGTAGGTGTGTATTTTCTGGAAATGTACAGGATAGTATTTAAGTGATGTAAAGTAATGATGACAGTTTCACTATGTGAAGTTTTGTCTATCCTTTAAATACTGTAATCCGCATATTCATCTCTTTATGTGAAATGAAGTGTGTTTCAGTGTTTCAGAGCAACTTCAGTAAGTGTTTTATTTTTTAGGTAAATATGAAGTACGATTTTATTATTAAGTAGTCCGTTTATGTTCCACTCAAGAATAGATAAAGAACTCAACGTTAAGCATTTGTGGGCCATAGATAGTGCAATAGATTTGAGTGACTTCCTTGTTGTTGAATAACGATTAAAATTGGCTGTTTTATTCACTTAATAAATTAAATATTTGAGAAGGATAATTTTCAGCTGGAAGTATCGCCTAAGCAGTGCACCGTCTCATACCCGATAAGCTTACATTATGTTGATGTCTACCTTTTATAGTGGACAAAGAATGCGGTGGTTCTCGTTGAGTAGGGTGAGGTTGCTGCGGATGCTGGATAAGTCTTGTAGTCCTGTTGGAGGAGTGGTAGGTAGGGTGAGCACAGGTCTTTTTAACGTTTTCCTACACTGCAACTATACGCGTTTTTTTCCGTGAGGGAAATGGGCGACGGATTATTTACAGATTTGCCGAGCAACTTATCGTTAACCCGCTCGGCCACCCCACAGCACATCTGTGAGATAGAGCTGAGTTCGCGTACTTTTAAGTGTTCTTAGTTCCTCTTCAAGGTTCGACATCTCATCTATAGAATTTGCCGGCAATCAATAAACTTAAGGTCTTGATGAAATGGTAAAATTTAACGTTCTCGAGTCTAGCGACGCCGGTTCGAAACAGCTCAGATCGAATTGAAATATATTTCGTAGTGGACCCACGGAATGAATTTCAATCTTCCCACTCAGCTTGGAATAGGTTTGGTTGCACCTCCTGTCCCCCGTATGTCAGAAATGGTATGAGTAGGATAACGCATGAAAAAAATGATTCAATTGGCGGTTTATTTCATGTCTTCTAACATGAAAAACCACCGTATTTTTGTCCACACCAAGCACACCTGGGTCTGTGGTTGTAGCAAACCTTAGTATGACCTTATTTTCGGCATCGACTACATTGGAATATTATCTTCGTCCACCGTTTTTCGTTAACCGAACGAGAAGAATAAATTGTTTTTATTTGAAAAATGTTTTCATTGTAGGTATTTTTATCTTTTAATACGCACAAAAAACACTGGCAATAGTTCTGTTAATCGTGATTTTAGGTTACCGACATTTACTGTATCATAACCATGGACTTTATTCCCATAATAATGGCTGATTTTGCAATGAAATAATGTAAATTTTTAATTACCATCCATGAATATCTAATATGTTTGAAGGTCAGCACGTTGTGTCCTGAAAGAACTGACTATGTATTTCACGGCAAGAGTCTAGGTTATCTGTGGAGGCGCTATCGACGAAAATAGATTAATTAGTAGCCTGTTGCAGTCTGGTCGATTCTCTTCAATCTTTTATGGGTTGAAGTCGTATTGTAGGAATTAAAGTAGAAGAGCATCCATTGCTTATCTTTGGATTTTGGAATGACGCTTGTTGGCTGTTACTATTCTCCAGGTTCTTTATTAATTTAAAAATGGTCTTAAACATAGTCCGAAGCCACCATCAAAACAGCTTTGACTCTTTGACAGGAGTAGGTCTCGGTATTTTAATTTATCACTGTTAGGGGTGCCCAGAAGACGGTTTCATGGGTCAAGTTGCGCAATCTAGATGCTCGAGGGAGCACATTATGACGGGATTTTGAATTTTTGAGGGGGACACATTTCGACAAGATTATGAATATTCGAAATCAAAATTTCATATCAGGAGACAAGAGAAAAGCATGTAATTGACCATTGAAAGTATAATTGTATATGACCTATAATTTGTTTTATGCTACTTTAGCTTACGCTGATTATAAGAAGAAGAGAGCAATAAAATATCTTTGGAGGAGAGGGAGACGGTTCATGCGCCATCGAGTTCGGGGAGGATGGGTACCCCTGATAACTGTCTCTTTACATAATTAATCAATCATTAAATTAGTTTTACACGTCAATAAGTTCTTTCCTAATCGCTATACATTAATAGATCTTCGTTTTAAATCATTATAACGAATAATGAAGCGAATTATAAAAAACTAACCTTTTCATAAAATTTATTACAAACCGATCATATGATCATTCCATGTGAAAATAACGTACCTTATGTAGAGGCGTAACTTTTACTTAATATACCCTCGGTTTGCCATATTCTTATTAGAAAGCCGAAATATTTAACTCTTATTAAATAGAATGTGATACTTAAAAAATAATTAAAATAAATCATTTGTTCAAAAATAGGAAACAAATGATATACAACATAAAATATTAAACTCGTTAAATGATTATTATTTTTTAAAATTTGTAGTGTATTATGTTAATTTACAGCAAACATTATGGGTATCAAATATCATCGTAAAAAAAGACGAAAAAAAGTCCGTAAGTCCAAGCCTCCTCAACACCAATTACTATTATTTTTTCTTACATTTACTTTTTTAACCACTTTATTTAAATTTTTGGTGAGAGTTGCAATCAAAATGTTACTTTAATGATGTATGGGCCATTAAAAAAAAAAAAAAAAAAAAAATATATATATATATATATATATATATATATATATATATATATACTTGAAGGATGTTAGTCGACTGTTCTACATATCATGGGTGATAAATATTCAGGACGCAGTCTTTTTTAAAATTTTTTTATTTTTGCCAACATTTCAACCCAAACATGTGGGTCATCTTCAGGGCGTGGTTTGAGCACTGAGGTTGTTCATGTACTCCATTATAACGTTCATATACTCCATTTGAGTACATGAACAACCTCAGTGCTCAAAACACGCCCTGAAGATGACCCACATGTTTGGGTTGAAACGTTGGCAAAAATAAAAAAAAAATTTAAAAAAGACTGCGTCCTGAATATTTATCACCCATGATATATATATATACACATACATTTGATGTCATATTGTTTCGAAAATTCATACCTCTACATTCAACAAACTTATCAAAAACCCCTTTGGTTTGTAGCCATATTTCTCTAAAAAGTTTTTTTAGAAAAACTTTAGTAATTTAACATTTCGTATTTGACATCTTGTGATTAAAACATTTCTTGTTTCGATGTTGTTAATTTCTTGTTTATTGAGAGGCGTCTACAGATAAAAAAAAATCCAAGTTCTTAAAATTTGAAACTTATTCCAAATCGTACTTGCTTTAATCATGACATAATAAGAAAAAGCAATTACAGAATTATATCATAGTTAATGTAGTTCCTAAAATAATACTAAATATATTTTCAAATATTCTGATTTAATTTAATTTATAATAACTTACAAAAGCAAAGAAACTGAAACAATGTAGAAGAAATCAGTTCGTTATAATTCTTGTTGCGTTTCTAATACAGAATGTGCCTTGACTTCTAGCCCCCTCCTTCCTTACTGTGCTTGGGCAGATGCCATGGAAAGGGGGTTTTCATATATCAATTAAGGAAGTCTATTTTTTAAAACAGAAATGTTGGGAACAGATCTTTGAAAAATGTATTATTTTTTAATGCATTATTTAAAATTTAAAATATTTTGTGTTTCAAAAATACATAGTGTATTTTTTCCGTATGTAATAATATTTTTTCTCTCAAAACACGATTATTTGTAGTGGCAATTATGTCATAAAAAAGGATATTAAAATCAATCCAAAGCAGGGTGATTAATCTAAAGAATATTCCTGTGAACTGACATTAAAGTGATGTGGCAGTGGTACATAAAGCAATTTTTGAGAAAAATCTGTTTTAATGAGAATAGTATCATTCATGGGATTATATGTCCATTCCTGGAGTAACAAAATAGTCTTTAGATAGTACCCTACAACCTAACCCATCATACTCAATTCTCGGAGTCCTGCTTCGATCTGTTAATCCTAGATACCACAGACAAACTCCTTGCCACATCTCTGCACCTAATTCCGTTTCTATCTTCCCACGATATTATTCAAATTTCTTACAATATCTGTAATTCCATCTTTTTTTCCCTGAACGATATCCTTCCGAAATCTAAATTCTCTCACTCAGGAAACACAGTCAAAAGATCTTGATGATATCCAGTGGGATCTCATTTATTCCTTAAAATCCATCAACACCATGGTAGAAATCCTTACCACTCATCTTCACTCCATCCTCGACCGACATGCTCCTCTTATCACAAAAACCATCTGACATCCTTCCATTCCTTGGCTTACTCCTGCGTTGAGAGTATATGAGGTGCTGGTACAGAGGTGCCCCTCCCCCCTGATAAATTCCTGGATCCACCACTGATAGTAGGTGATTGCAGTGTTATAATATATGGAACTGTGTATAATGGTATAAATTTTCCCACTAGAAACATCACTAAAATGAATAATAAAAAATTTTGAAATTGGAGTTAGTCATTCTGTCAACTAAAAGGCTCATATCTTAATATATGAGGCAGATAGTATTTATGCGGAATGAATGATAAAGAAAATTACTTGATTTACTCAGGATTTTTGCAAATGTAAACATAATTTTGATATTGAAAATAAGAAACTGAATGAAATCATAATGATTTCAATTATTACATGTTATTAGATAAGATAAAGTTAAACATAAACATAATAAAACTTATTTGCATACAAATAAAAAGGTAAATAAATATAATTTTTTTATTTTTCCAGTCAGGCCAATTTCGGCCATTAAAGAAAACATTTCAGAACCAATGGGTATAAAACTCCCTGATGGCCTACTTATTGGAGTTGGATCATCAGCATACCAGATTGAAGGAGCTCCATTTGAGGATGGTAAAAAAATTATTTTACAAACAAAGTTATGTCTTTAGATTTTTGTTTTTCATCTGGATTGCCGATGTATGTAGTAAATAAGATCATAATTTATAGTAATATATTAAGATAAAGGTTTTTAAAGATTAATGACCTAAGGAATAGTGTAAGTCAAGTCTGAAGTAAAGTGATAGTGGATTAATTGAATCATTTCAATGGTTCTCAAACATTTTTTGCCACAGCACACTCGTCGGACTAAAAAAAATTTACAGTAGCCTTATTGGACTAAAATAATTTTATAGCACCCTTGATGGACTAAAAAATATTGTAGCGCAGTTACCTTTAACTGGTGATGTAATAGGAGCTTAACCCATTTTGTGTGCAATGTATATAAATCAAAGAAAACTTTGTCCAGATATTATGATAAATCTGATTGATTTTTATTTTAATTGTGTTATTAATAAATTTAGCTTTGTAAATTTTTAAAATTTCTGTTCAATATAAGAATAAGACTTTAAATATGAAAATCAAATATTATTACTGCGACACCTATGGCATTTACTTGCGAAACCCTTGGCAATATTTTAGAGGATAGAAATATCACAAAATTAATAGAATATTACAAGGAGGTCAAATACTTAGCAGTTGTTTCAGGAGAATATTTAGACTCAAAATTAAGTAAGTACAGTGCGTAGCAGTTACGAAAACACAGCAGTCTTGATTTTTTTACTTTTGTTATTTCATTTTGTTCCTTATTTACTTTTTTAATTAAGTTTTAACTTGGATTATAAATTTTCTGGAGCAAAAACTTAATTTATTTCATTTATGTATTAATAAATGGATCTTTATAATCTTGAAGTAATTGAGTATCAACACTTAGTTATAACGTTTTTCTTAACAGTGGGTCTCCTGATAAATGCCAAAACATAGGAAGAAGAAGAAGTTTATGAACAAACTTATTTTCCATGTTGTAATTTTTATTTCAGGAAAAGGAGAATCAGTTATTGATAGGTATTGCAAAGAGCAACCAGACTGGAATGAAGATAGTTCCAATGGTACAGTGGCTTGTGACAGCTACCACAAAATAAAGGAAGATGTAGCATTGCTCAAGGATTTAGGGGTATTTTATTTTATTCTAAATTCTTAAAATATTAACAATAGTATTGCAATACTCCATTTTTCGGTTTTATATACACTTATTATTGTGAATATAATATTTACTCATTGTAATATTATATTTTGTTTATATTATTGTACTGGGCTATTTTTCAGGTTAATTTTTACAGGTTCTCAATATCTTGGCCCCGCATTATTCCTACAGGTGATCCAATAGATATTAATCAAGAGGGTATAGACCATTACCATAAGTTAATAGACACCCTTCTAGATGCCAAAATTCAGCCAATGGTTGGTAGTTCAATGTTCATAAATTAAATAATTAAACATTATTCAATTATTTGAATGTGTATTTTACTATTTTTAAAGCAAATCTTTGTATTATATGCAGTCAAAAATGAAAGACTTGATTGAATAGAATGATAAATCACAAATTCAAATAATCATCAATAAGAAAACTTGCAAGGTTCACAGGTATATTTCAAATGTGTTAGGTTACAATGTACCATTGGGACATACCACAAGATCTTCAATTACTTGGTGGGTGGACTAATAAAGTGGTGGTTGACTTCTTTGTTGAATATGCAAGAATACTCTTCAAGGAATATGGAAATAAGGTCAGTATAGAAATATTGGCACAGAACAGTGTAATTGAGTTTATAATTTTTAAAACTCTAAAATTAAACTCTTAGAGCTTTAAAATATATTTTTGTTTTTTGGTTTATCTGAGATTGTTTATTATTTAGTCTTGCCCATACTTTAAGATTAAATTTCTTAAAATTATTTTATTTACTACATATTTTTTTTTGCAAATGAACCCTGTAATATTTTGTAATAATACAATATAATTACTTATGGCAGCGTCAGAAATAAAGTAAACATGAATCGCTTCCAAATTCATTCATATATCTAATGTTAATCTATGCACAACCCTGATTTGAAAAAAATTCAATTTGGGCCTCGTAGCTTTTGATGCCCATAATTCTGTGATACAACATAAAGTGTTTTCGAAGTAATTAAAATTTGCATTGCAATCATTTTGAAAATTTGATTTAACATGTTTTTATTTAAAAATTAATTATTAAAAGAAAACTTCCATTTATTTTTCATTTTTATCTTCCATACTACACATCAATTGACACTCCATACAATTCACATCACCATGTTTATGTGTCGTTGTGCAGGTAAAACGATGGGTTACTGTGAATGAACCACAACTCATATCTCAGTACGGATATGGTGGTGGACCCCAGCGCACAAATATTTCTTTCCCACCAGGAATCAATCAATGGCTAGGATTTGCTGATTACCTTTCACAACACCACATGCTTTTAGCTCATGCGCATACTTACAGGCTTTATGAAAAGGAGTTCAAAAAGGCACAAAGAGGTAACATTTTATATTTATATGAATATCATTAATAAATAGTATATGTTGTTGGTTTATTACAAAGCGTCATTAAGAATCATTTCATAAAATTAAATCACTAAGATTTTCTCAATAAAATCAGAATCTATACAATAATTTATATATAAAAGAGTTTGTTTAATTGAATGCACTTATTCTGTTTTTATATCAATAAATAACGTTGGAATTCACAAGAATGTACTTAAAAGTTTAGCTTTATCAAAAACATATATACTATTATAAGTAAGTAATAAATATATTATTTAAAAGAGTCAGAATTATTTTAAACTCAGCTTAGTAGGTACTTGGATGGGTGACCACTCACTATGGAAACCAACATGGCATGTAATTATCTGATCATTATATCTCTCCTCGGATAAGTGAGCCCTTCAGCTAATTGGAATCAACTCTTGCTGACTAGGCATATGAGTGATGATTATTTTTTTAAAATCAGTAATCCTAGCGTTGTTTTCCAAAATGTTAGAATAATTGCTTCTACACAAGAAATAAAGTTCATTTCCTGATCTAGAATAGCTATAATTATTGAGTTTATTCTGATTTATGATTTGATACTGTTTTGAATGTGAATACTTTATCAAACATTTGTTGGAAAAAACACTGCCAAAGTGGTCTCAAAAATACTGAGTATCAATATACTTTAAACGTAAATCCCTATTTCGAAAACATGAGGTATATTCCTTTTGGTACTCATATCTACACGTATATATTGGTTTTTATATTTTAATTTTTAAAAATACAATATTTTATAAAAGTAATAAAATTTAGCCATTGTTATTTTAACATCTATTTCTATTAAAAATGAGATAGAGCAATAAACATAATTAATTTCAGATGCCAAGGCAAAGTAACTATTTGGCAAATATTTTTCATGATTAATCCTAAAAAATGTTTCATGTAAGATGGACAAGCATGTTAACATACAAATAAAACAAGACATACTAAAGTTTACTTGTTTAGGGTATGGAATATGGATTCTATTAATATTTAAGATATGTATCCTAAACAAAGATTAATGAATTCATATTTGAAGGTAATATAATGTAGAAGTTATGAAAAACATACCTAGATTGATTTAATGATAAGATCTGAAACATATGACAATTTATAGACTGGTTTATCCTAAAGAGAAATATGCTTCTCCAAATTATAATTGAATAGTACATATCTTAAGTAGCATGTTTGGTCAGAAACAACCATCGCATATTTTGACTTATTTACTTTTTAATTAGTTTTTCCACTTTATTTATGCCTCATAAAACATAAAAATCTCAATACTATGATTTTATTTTCTTTGTTTTTTTGTTTATAGGTTATTTAATTAATTTATTAGTCTTTTTCATGTTTCACAGGACTAGTTGGACCAGTTTTTCAAATATTCTGGATGAAGCCATACTCAGACACAGAAAAGGATAGGGAAGCGGTCAGAAGAGCTCGATTATTTGAGGTGATGGATATCCTTCAAAGTTCTTACTCAATTTGATACTTAAACCTACTGAACACATTAACATAATCTTATTTTACTCATGATAGAGTTTATTTGTATAAGTTTGCTCCAATTAAAATTTTTATCACTAAATATGTTTATATTCTATTTAATAGATTGATTCTATGATGCATCCATTGATTAAGGGTGATTATCCAACAGAGTATAAGAGAATAATCGACACTCGCAGCAAAAATGAAGGGAGGAGGATATCCAGACTACCCAGTTTTACAGAAGAAGAAGTGGAGCTTTTAAAGGGTGTAGTTATTGTTATTATTATTTATTTTTATTAAAATGGAAAAATAACTAAATTTATTCATTATTTTATTTTTAAAACATTACACAATTTATGACATAAATTTTATTTTATTATACTTATGTAGATTATTATATATCCTTCGATTTTGCAGGAAGTTTTGACTATATTGGGATAAACTATTATACAGCCTATGATGTTAAGTACTCTGAAAATTTTCCCACTCCATCTCAGATGAAAGACTATGCTGCAGAAAAATATGTAAATCCTAAAGCATTTACTCCTGGTGTAAAATGGCTATCTGTAAGTGGCTAACTTTACTTTTAAATAGTTCATTTAAGCCAATAGTTTATGAAAAATAACAATTAGGAGTACCGTTAGACCTGGCCATTTTAGTACTAAGACAAAATTTTACTAGATATCTCCCTTGATGATCTCAAAATTGAGTAGTAGGCTAGTTTTTCACATTTGTGCCATACTTTAATTACCTTTGTACTTCCTCCAATGACTGATGAAAATCTAATCCCAAGCCTGCGTTTAATTTTTCTTACAATAGCTACTGGAACTGAGGTTAGAAATAATAATTTCTACTTGTCATGTATGAAGATCTAAACAAAAATAGAAAAGAATGAACAAGAAAGTGGAATGCGGATAAAAATAGTACTTTTATAAAGAACTTTATATTTTTGTCCATGATTTATAGCATGCCCTAGGCCACAACCCACCCACCCTTCGTCTTTGGGTGTTGTGGTCATCCCCATTATCCATATTTATCTCTAAACAAAAACCGATCAAATTATCTTAAGACTTAATAAATATACCAATATATTTTAATGACATTTTGAGACTTTTCTCTTATACATGCCCAACAATAAACATTTTTTAAAAAGGTTTATAGACATTTTTTTCAAAAATAATTTTTAAACACTAAAATAACTAATAATTCCAATACACTTTAACTATTAAAATATTATAACTAAATTAAGTACAAAAAAGCTTTAGACTCAATTAAACTCACAAATTGGAAGTGTGACTTTGGAAATGAGCTTCATCTAACTTCATCTACTTAAAAATGTAATTTTACAGAGCGAAAAAAATTTTAAATTATGAAATGTAGGTTGAGGATTAAAAATGACTGAGATGAATGTTGCAAAATTTTTAATCACATAAAATGGAAAATCTAACCAAGAAACAATTGTCCATGAAGATGGACCAAGAGCTCAAAACCTAGACAAATGGAAAATAAAATAATTATATAAGTTAATGGAAGAGATACATTCTTTAAAAAAAAAAAAAAAATCATGATCACAATGTTTGATATAATAAATCATTCTATTGAATTCTAAATAAATGGTTAATTAAAATTTCAACTTTTTAGTTGAAGTCACACACGGAGTGTGAGAGAAAATAAAAATCAATATATTTATAAAAATTAAATAAAACAATTAAAAATTTGCTATTTCTTTGTAGATCTTTTGCCGCCTTAACCAGAGCTTCTCCATATCTGCCTATCTTGGGCTATTTCTTCTGAGCTTTGTGGCTACAGCTTTATTTGATGAATCAATCTATGCATCAGCTTTCCCCCCCCTCCTACATGGTGCCTTTTGCCTACTATTAAGGCATTCATTGTTGTGTAAAGGCGTCCTGATGAATTGCTACGAGCTACATGCCCTGCCCATCTTAACCTCCTTGCCTTCATGTCATGAGATATGAGATTGAAATATTGACCAGTTTCTATAAGCAGTTCTTTATTGATCCTTTTCCTCCAAATGAACTCATATCTGTCTAGCTACAAAGGGTGTTTCTCACAAATCTTTCAATAATTATTTCTAGGTTACTGGTTGGTGTCCAGGTCCCGCAGCCGTACCATATCACAACTGGCTTTATTATAGTATCATAGCACCCTTAATTTGAAATTTAAATACTTTTGAAAGAGAGAAGAAAGATCTGGTTGTGCTCAGTATATATATCTATATCCGGCCATCAGTCGTTCTTCAAGTTATTCTAGATCTGAGATATTTGAATTTGACTACTCTCAGGAACGATTTCCATTCTACGTAGATTCTAATTTTAAATTATGTCTATGCATGGTCCACAATATTTTCTAACTGGGTGTAGAAATTATCCTTCACCTCTTTAACACGATCTTCAGTTGGTTCTTACACATTAATAATTGTGATATCAAAATAACAATCTTTAACTCAAAATAAGTTCATTACTAATTTCCTTACCGCAGGGCTATTTGTTGCATTTTTATCATTTATCCCTTATTCAACGCCTTAGGTATACTTAATTATAACATATAAATACAATTAAATAATTATAGTATACATGCGGGATGGGATCTATTCATCCTAGTAAGTCCAGCCTAAATTAAAAAAAAAAAATACAATTCGTTAAGATGGTGATTGAGTAGTAGATGGTGATTGACACTTTCTGATACAAAAGGAAGTTAGTAGGAGCTTATTAGGTGTGGTTTATTACTTTGCATTTTTTTATTTATTTGAACAGACATATTGAACCACATTGTCACTGATCATCAAGTCTGATAAGCAATCAAGAGAAGGACAGAAGATCTAAACAGATATAAAGTATCACCATCTTAAATCGATACATAACTGCTTAAAGAAAACAAATATTTTTTAGCTAAACCAATGTTTTATTGAGTTGCATTGATTTAAATATTTTTAATTCTTTGTTTTAATTTCAGCATCAACCTAAACATTTCAGGAGTAGCCTTAAATATTTAAGAGATATTTATGGAGATTTGAGGTTCTTTATCACAGAGAATGGTTGTGATGATCCTAGTGGACTGAATGACAAAGATAGGATAAATTATTTAAAGGTTAGTATCGTTCCTGTCAAATATCTAATTAATTTCAAAATTGAGATATTTCTAATAAACTGAGATAAAGTACTAACAATGTTATCAGATTTAATTATGATTATCATATTTAATTATGATCAATACATATAAAATAATGAAATAAAAAGATAAGCCTTTTAAAATGAATAAGATAATTTATAATATTATAATGACCCAACAGTCTTCAAGAAATGATAATAAATAAGTTATTAACGAGTAAATAAAGTAAAATTAAATTATTATTTTTTTTTGTAGGATCATCTAAAACAGCTGATTTTGGCGATTAATGAAGATGGGTGTGATATTGGCGGGTACACAATCTGGAGTTTTCTTGATAGTTATGAGTGGGCTTCAGGTTATAAGTAAGAATTTTCCTTTGTTTTTTAATCTAACCACCATTCTTCATTTTCATTGTATTCAATACTTTCCCATTATTTGAAGCCTTTATATAAAATTAAAGGAAGTACTTATTTTAATAAATTCAATTTTAATCCTATGTTGTAGTTCTTAACAACATGCAATTTAATTAAATCCTTAATCAATTGCTAAAATACTTTTTTTCCTCAAAACATATTTAAAGTATTTATGATAAAGCTAATTATAAAATTTTCTTATTAAGAATTACTAATGCACCAAAACTGTAAATATCACCTATACACTTCTTTAATTTGTTTCAGGGCCAAGTTTGGTCTTTATAACGTTGATTTTAATGATCGAAAGAAACCAAGAACACCAAAGAAGTCTGTGGAGGTTGTGAAAGAAATTATAAAAACAAGAATTATTCCAGATTAATGCCTAACTACAATTTAAACAATTCTATTGAATTGAGTTTTTTGTTTGCATTTTTTATAATTTTGTACTATATTGATTCTAAATATACCAGTTGTAAATAAGTAATAAAAACTAATCCTCTGGATAATTGTTAACAATTATACCTGAAAGGAATCATCAGTTTGAGAAAGTTGAAATCAGAACTAATGATAACATCTGTATATGAATCATGAAACATGTACTACTTTCCTGTATAGAAAAAAAAGAATTTGTTTTAGAATGTTTTTAAAATTTGCAAATAATTTAGTAGTTGTGACAGACTCACTATCAGTTATTAAGAGTCTGCAAAATATCTGGACAAAAATCAAATCGCATCAAAAAATTGAAGCCATGAACTAAAAAACTTACAAATGATCAAGAAATAACATTGTTGTGGGTCACTTCACACATAGGCATTAGTGGCAATAACAAGAGCTGATAAAGGAACAAAGGAAGCAGTGAGAAGCTCTGATTCACCTCATTTAAGGCCTAAATTTCTTGACGAATAGCCGCACTTAAATACAAGCAAAGTGAATAAACTTTGATAAGAACAGTGGGAACGGCTGCCGTTCAATCACCACCACCTCTATAAAGAGAACAATGTTGCTCAAATTATTCTGAAAATCTCACATTTACCGAATGCTCCATTATAAGCTGACTGAGGATCGGACATACCAAACCAAACCACCAATATCTTGTTCTAGGATTGCACAGACCAACTTGTGAAACATGTGACAGTGCAACCTTTTCCGATGCAAAAAATATTGAAAAGAACAAATTAAATTCAAAATTGAAAACATAGCACCGTTTAAAGAAAGAAGTAGCATTGAAAAAAAGCCTTAAATACTTAAAAGAAATAAAATTGATTCATCAAATTTAAGAACAGTCGTCACTAATGGCTTCAGAAGTCAAAGTGACGTTAAATAAGACCAAATATAAACAAAATAAAATAAATAAATTTTTATAATAATTTTTATTACTTACTACCTTCAGTTATGATCAATTATGAAAAAGAAAATAAATTGAAACCATTATTTATTTTCAGTATTACACCAGATCTTACAAATTGTAGTTATAAAAATGCTGTAATTTTTGTTTATTTTTCCTTAAATATGCACTTTTTCTCCTTTATATCTTGATTAGAAATTCTTAAAACTTAAAATTACCAACATATGTTGTTAAAAATATTTAAGAGATACCATCTTATGCTTGCTATAGAATTGTTTTTGTACTTCATATTAGGCTATTGCATATTTATTTCAATAATAACATGTCTTGAACATTATCTAGTTTTGATTTTTCACACAGTAGAGAAATCAATTCGCTATCATGTATGTATAATATAAGTATGCATTGTTGTTGATTTCAAACTCTGCACATAATGATTAAAATATATTTTAAATAAATAACTTTTAATCTCAAGAATGTACGAATGACCAGGAGTATTGAGATAGTCCACTGAAAATTAAAAAAATATTTGCTATTTCATCAGTGGAAATAGTATTAACTAGTTTACAGATAATTGGTCATCATAATAAAATATTAAGTGCTTGATAATAATAGAAAGTATTAAAGTCCAAAAAAAAATCACATAAATGATATTTAGGTTTTTTTATTGTATATAGTTTTTATTCATTATTATTTAGTTATTGTTTTACTTTGTTAATTTTATTTTTTTTTTGTATATACGGTGTGAATGTGCTCATTTATCAATATAATTATTGTCCCTGTGACAGAATATTGTATGTCTAAATAAACAAATAAAATAAAAAAATAATAAAAAAAAAATAAAAAAAAAATAAATAAATAAATGTTAACATTTATTCGATCCCAATGTTTCGACCAACATTGTAGCTCTTCATCAAGGCTTGAATAGGGAAACAAGAAGTTGCCAATTGAATAGTTGTAAGAGCCAGGCCGGCAACACTTGTCTCCATATTTCAGCCCTGATGAAGACTTACATAGTGACTCAAACCCTTGTCAATGAATAAATAGTTCGTAGAGTATAAATATTTTTGACACTGGGTCAGGATCAAGTGCAACTGTCAGATTTCTTCTCTAACTTAATTAAAGAAGTAAAAGCTCTAACCCACCATTACTAAAACAAAATATATAATTTTCAGCCACAGATGGACTGGAATAGGAGCACAGTGCTTTATTTACTGACCTTCCCCGCTCCATAAACTTTTACTAATCTTACCCGCTCTATAAATTTAAGTGATGTAATAAGGAATTAAAACTAATAAGGTGTGGTTAAAATAAATATTTGAATTATAATTTTTACTTTAACATTTTAAATTTCACTCCACCTTCTGTGAAATATGTCACACTAACAAGAAAAAAATCAGGACACGGACTATTAAGACAGACTCTTGGAAGCATGTTTGACTCCCGCAATCAACGCTTAAGGGGACAGGAAAGTGTCAAGTTCACTCCAAAGGGCATGATCATGTCAAAGGCTTCACGCTACCACCGAAGGACTTCCGCCACTGACTTTTTTACGCAAGGATACCAGTGAAGTGTCACGCATCTCGATATATTCGTAGGTACTACTGCCATGGAGGATCTGTTGTTTAAGCGCGTCAAGCTTGTCTGGAGTTCGCTTAATTATTTTCTGTAGAAACATCGTAATTTGACAAAAAGATAATGTTAGTATTAATATATAAACCGGCTCAATATTAATGCTAATGTAAGATTAGATGAACATACCATTTAAATGTTCAAGTTGTATTCCATTCGACAGTATATTATTTAATACATTTTATTTACAACTTAAAATTCGAGAAGCTTTCTATGTCCAGGATGATAATATTAAATTTTTTATTTTTTATCCTTACTGTTTAAAAAATCAATAATTTGAACAATGTATATCGTCTGCTTTTGTATATATATCTTGTGGAACAGCGACACCTATTCGCCAGGACACCATCTCATTAAGGTGGATACCGAAAGCTTCTGGAATTTGCAGGTGTAAATAAAATATATTAAATAAGAGACTGTCGAAAAGTATACAAATTGAACATAGTACTGAATCAAAATGAGATTGATTCAATAGAAATTATACAGATATATACACTAGCGGATCCAGGATTTAATTTTGTGGGGGCTTCAGCCCGAAAGCGGTTTTTTTCATAAAAATAACGATAATTACTTTGGAAAAGATGAAAGAAACTAACTACCTGTATGAAATTGTGTTTAAGTGATTCCTAAAGCCCCTTTAAATGTAATTACACAAACAATAATACTTTAAGAGATACTTTTTCGATAAAACATGGCTATATTTTACCATTTTAGGGGGGAGGGCTTCAGCCCGAAAGCCCCCCCTCCTCCCCCCTCCCGTAGATCCGCCCGTGGATATATATAAAGTCAGACATTATTATGTTACAATCTGACAAATTTATGACGAAATATACGAGAACCTTGGCAAGTTTAAAAAAAAAAATTGTAATAGTTTCTGCTTTGTATTTGAATTATAATTTTTGTTTTGGTTTCTTTTCCTTTATTTATTCTTTGTTAAAATTGTTTTTAAAAACGCCCTCCTCATATTCTTCTATTGCTTACGAAAGCTTTTTATTGCAAGGGATAAAACAGGTCAACCATGTTTAAAAGATTTCCGAAATCAAGTATTTTGATTTTTAAACATTCAGAATTAATAGCGACACTAAGTGATCGCCACATTTTGTAGACGGGTAAACACATTTTTAAGGTTTCGGAAATAAGAACGGTAGGTTGATTCTGAGAAGAGTCTGAAGATGTTTTTGAAAATATTTCAGAAGCATCAACGGTAACAGACTAAGAATGATCGTGATTCAATTTGAATGCTTCCTAGAGGCGATGGAGAGAGGTCCTCAGAATATTAACATCCTTCGATATCAGCGAAAGACTGTTGCTGACTGAATCTCAACTCTGACTGAAGTATTGGATGCCAGGCAAGGAAAGGGAGAGATGAGAAAAAAAAGCCTGAACACCGAATAAAACTCTTGTTTTTCTCCTTCATCTTCATCAAAGGTATCGAAAGCTAGCAGAGGTTGAAAATGTTTATATAAGCTCAGAATCAGTGAAGGAAGGTTAAACATTTCCAGGTCACATATTTGATATTATAATGCAATAAACCTCTTGTATTCTCTCCAACGAGAGAAACGGTACAAAGACAATATGAAGATTTTAATAATTTAAATGCATTATATAGAAATAAAAAAAAAAATTTATTAGGCTTTGGAATACCGGAGTCATGATGTAACGAGTTGGAAACAAAGTGCAGTCCATTGACTGAGATCCTTAGGATTAATATTACACCTAAACATGTAACTCGACTAAGAAAAGATGAAGTGGAAAATATTCTGAATATACTAGAAGATACTCAAAAAATTAGTTCACGAAGAATAATTACAGAAGTACTCTAGAGCATTCCTCAAGCAAGGCTGGTCTTGCGAACTGTTCTCTGTAGGAGCTTATTAAGGCTGATGATTATGAAGTAGAGTATTTTGCAAACTTCGAAAGTTCGAAAGAAAGAAACTTATACTTGAATCCTATAAATCCTTCATAGAAGTCTGACATTTGTTGCAGAAAGGAATTTCTCATTGTGCAGAGAGTAAAGAATATTCAATAGGAAAACGGATTATGACAGCGGTGCACCTCATTCTAAGGTCAAGGCTAGATTAGTATAGGTTCAAAACATCTAGCTTGAGGCTTCTGATTTATGAAGGAGTCTGGTATGTGAAAATATGTAGGGTTCAGGGTATAACTATTGACAGTTATTATGATGTAACAGTCTTGTTTCATTAATCTTCATCTGTATGTACCTAAAATGGATCTAGGAAGCGATTGGTAATCAATAATGGAATAGGGAACAGAATTCAATGAGGAGTTAAAAAAAGAAAAAAATATATGCAAATGGTTTTACAGCAGGGATCATCAGTTCTTGTGATAATTAATAAAATAATAATCAATATACGATTAATTATGGATTTAATAATCAGTCAAAATATGCTATGACAGCTACATATTCTGGCTTAAACTTTTCAAACTATGCAACAAGATGTTTAGAACTAGAAATAGATTACTATAGTAATAGAAACAAGGATTAAAAAAATATATATTTAGAATAAATTTTGAGTAACACCAACTAGGAAATAATTTTTATAATCAAGATATTTACCAAACTTAAATAATGATTAGCCAATGATTTGGAACAGTGGCGGATCCAAGAGGGAAGCTCACTTTCTGACTGAAACCATCCAAAATAAAAAAATGTATATATTTTTAAT